CTCTGCCAATCAGTTCTTCAAAGATAGACTTTCATTGTGCTTGATGTAGACCCAGTTCATTTTGAGTCCTTTATAATGCAGCAGAGTGATACACTCTTCAATTATGGGCACCACGTCTTCTGGATTGAATGCGACACATAGTCTCCTTGTAGATTATCCTCTGTATTTTCATCTCTTGTATTACAACCCCTTTGTACATTAATGCAAATTATTCATGTTTAACAAACACATTTTTGGTGGACCAACACCTCTTTTAAATGATGCAAGTGATGAAAATAAAATAAAATAAAATAAAAATGAAAAGAGTTAGTGAGGTGAAAATAATCAAAAATAATCATGAAAAATAAAAGTCCTACCCCACACGATGTTTACCCCACATGCTTTAATTCCTACCCGGACATAATCTCTATCCCGCATGCTAATTGCAAACAAATCTTAACCACATATTTGTCTAGTTCCCATGCTTTGAACAAAAAGTAAGGCAGGAAACAAAGTAGCCTAGGGTTTGGAATGAGGTTTTGGGGTGGGCTCTAATTCCCTGTACTCTCCCGGTTTAAGTTCTAAAAATGGTACTCGAGCTCTCCTTGCTGGTGTCACCTTGGGCTTGCCAGACCCTTAGTCCTAAGCCCATCACAAGCTTATGTGGACTAAGTTAAACTCGAGAGGATACATTCCCTTATGCCCATACGGAGAATAAATTCACACGAAGACATAAGGTATATGAATCCCGAAGGTTACTTGCTAGGCCCATACGGAGAATAAATTCCCACGAAGGCTTCATTTTCGCCCCCAATTAAAAGGGTTCGGAGCTCGGGTATAGAGCTAGAGATGAAAATTTTGAAAAATCTGAAATCATTAAAAAAAACGTTAGTACAACTATTTATTTGAAAAAATAATCAAAGATAAATAATAAGAATCGGATAAATAAATCAAAATTTAAACTTGTAATTATCGCTAAAAAAGATAACCAGAAATTAATTTAGGCCTGACTCACTTACCTGTCCACAGCGGAGTCGCCAAGCTGTCAGAATCGTCTTTCGGTTGGGCCCCGAATTGGTCTTCGACTTGGATTAAATGAATTGGAGTCGCCACCGACCATTTAAAACGAATTTGGGTAGGTCAGACACCATCTTACTTGATCTGCATTGTACCAGAAACGTGTCGGGTTCGGGAGTCGGTTACGGTTAAGGAAGGATTAGCACCCTTGAACCGCCCTTTCGGTACCAATTAATTCATCGGTTGTCTTAATCGCGAAAATCAAAATTTAAATTTAAATTTAAAAATTCAATTCGAATTAATTATCTTTGATCGATTGAAAGTATCCCTAAAAAATCAAAAGTGTTAGATTTTAAAAATGAAAATAAACATGAGAAAAGAATAATAAAAAATATTAATATAATAATATTAATAATATATATATATATATATATATCAATGTAAAAAGAAATAAAAATATTAAAATTAGGAGAAAATGAAATATATATATATAAAGTAAATAAATAAAAAATGAAATAAAAAGAATAAGTCAAAAGTTGTTACATCTCTTATGTTTTGCGTGTAGAGAAACTGGATTTGCAATGAAAAGGCTCTGCCACTCCTCGTGCTTTTAGATACTGGCTTTGGATCCTCCACGCTTGTTTTTTTGTCCTTTTATTCCTTTAGTTTTTCCAAATCGTTGCCCCTTCCTCTGATTTTAGTTCCACGTTTTTCTCTGTGTCATTTCCTCTTGATGCATGAGTCTATTTATAGTCTAAAGAAACATTTTTTTAGCTCAGATTTAGAGTCCTACTTGGACTCAAAATGTTTTGGTTTTAGTGTTTCAATAGGACTCAAATACGTTGGTTTTAGTGTTTCAATAGGACACAAATACGTTAGTTTATTTTCTGAATCTCACTAAATCGAGGTTGTTAAGTGTGGGGCCTAAAAAAATAATAAAATAAAAATATAATAATAATAATAATAAATAAATATATAATATAATAAAATGTTTTCGTAGACCCAGACAAAAACGGGTGTCTACAGCTGCCCCTCTTTGCACAATTTTGTGTTAACAAGAATAGGGCAACGATGAAAAAGACAACCAGTTTTTGTTCGGTTCTCTTTGATTTGAGACTGGATAGTGTTTGTTGTGACACTAAGTCTATCGATTGTGCACGATATCCTTCTTCTTGAAGTTGAAATCGTGGGGAATCGGAAAGTGACTCTTTGTTGCCAATCTTGGTCGACCTTGGTCTTCTTCTCGATTTAGAGACTTGGGTGTAAAAATTTGACCGGAAAGTAGTTCCTTGGTGATGCAACACGGTTGATACGCCCTCGAGCTGAATGGAATCAAACTCGAAGGTCTTTGGCAGATAGCCCTTCTTGCCTTGAGCTATGCTGCAAATGATGGTGCCTTTGAGCTGAGTGGAGTCGAACTCGAAGGTCTTTGTTGACAGATAACCCTTATAGCCTTGAGTTATGCTGTAAATGATGTGCCCTCGAAGCTGAGTGTAATCAAACTCGAGGGTCTTTGGCAGATAACCCTTCTCGACTTAAGCTATGCTGCAAATGATGTGTCTTGGAGCTGAGCGTAGTCGAACTCGAAGGTCTTTGGTTGGCAGATAACCCTTCTCGACTTAAGTTATACTGCAAATGATATGCCTTGGAGCTGAGCGTAGTCGAACTCGAAGGTCTTTTGGTCACAAATAACCCTTCTAGCCTTGAGTTATACTGTAAATGATGTGCCCTCGAAGCTGAGTGTAATCGAACTCGAGGGTCTTCGGTTAGCAGATAACCTTTCTTGATTTAAGTTATGCTGCAAATGATGTGCCTTTGGTTCCACGTTTTTCTCTGTGTCCTTTCCTCTTGATGCATGAATCTATTTATAGTCTAAAGAAACCTCTTTTTAGCTCAGATTTAGAGTGCTACTTTTACTCAAAATGCTTCGATTTTAGTGTTTCAATAGGACTCAAATACGTTGGTTTATTTTTTGAATCTCACTAAATCTAGGTTGTTGAATATGGGGCCTACAAAAATAAAAAATAATAATATATTAATAATAATAACAATAAATAAATAAATAAATATATAATATAATAAAATAAAATATTTTTGTAGAACGGGACAAAAACAGGTGTCTACATGCACGTTCTTTTTTATTTTCTTATAGTGTTGGATTTGACATCGTCATAAATGATCAAGATGGTGTTCATTGTTATCTCGTTGATCTTCCTTGCTTTGAACCTTTGAATTGGATTTGGATACATAGCTTGCGATTGCAGATAATTATCTCGTGATGCTTGGCTATGATTTGTGTTTTGTCGGTGATCTTTCAATAGTTTAATCCCCTATTGTTGTTGATTTGCCATAGCAGTCAAATTTGTTCGTATCTATCATCTGTTCAAGTTTTTCTTGATAAAATTTTCATATTTTTCTTTTATGATCCTGATATGATCTTAAGTGGCTAATTTCTTAATGATTTTAGAATAATTTCTCAATTATGTATCTAATTTACAATTTTTGTCATAAATTTTATTGTAGTTTTAGATTTTTCTTATTTATTAATAAAATTAGCTACTTTTATTTCAATATATATATATATATATATTATTTTATGGAGTTTATATCATCACATGCCATTAAAGTATGACCCTTATTTTAAATTAGTCCTTAATCTTTTAAATATTGCAATTTCATCCCTATTCTATGATAATTATTTTAAATTAGTCCCTAAACTTTTAAACATTCCAATTTTATCCCAAACTATGATCTACATTCTAAATTGATCCCCAAACTTTTTGAACATTCCAATTTCATCCCAAACTATAATTATATAATAATCACATTCCTTGTTAATAAAATTGTTAGGCCAAGTTATATTATTTTATGTTTTAAACAATAAAATCTAGGTTAAACTAGGGTTGAAAATAATTACATATTTGGATGAATTTGAGGGATAAAATTAGAATATTTAAAAGTTTGGGGATCAATTTAGAAAGAGGGTTGTAGTTTAAAGATATCATTGGAATGATAAAAAATTTAAGGACTAATTTATAATTAAATTCATAGTTTGTGGATGAAATTGAAATGAAACTAATTACATATTTGGATGAATTTGAGGGATAAAATTATAATATTCAAAAGTTTGGGGGATCAATTTTGAAAGAGGGTTGTAATTTAGGGATGAAATTAGAATGATAAAAAATTTAAGGGCTAATTTAGAATTAAATTCATAGCTTATGGATGAAATTGAAATACTCAAAAGTTTAACGATCAATTTAAAGTGAGAGTTATAGTTTGAGCACATATAATACAATTAACTTTATTTTATGTGAATTCAAATCTTGACATTTATCTTAAAATGTAAAGACCTTTCTATATAGTAAAAAAACTCGTGAGCAAAAATTATAATGAGTAAACTACACATTTAGTATTTAATTATCACTTTTTTTTTGTTTTAGGCACCGATTATTTTTGTTTCAAAATCATACATAACGTTACATTTAGATTTCATTTTGATTACTCACCATTAAAAAATCGTCGGTAATACCAACATGCTATCATATTGTAATGTTAGTTATAATTGATTTTTTTTTAAAATATAACGTCAATAATTTTATTATTTTTTAATAATAAATGATAAAATTAAAATATAGATTGTTAATTTTTTAACGATAAATAACTAAATTAAAATTAAAACTTAACATTATGATTTTAAAAAATAATAATTGAGTTACAAAAAAAAGTGATAGTTGATGCAGTAAATGTGTAGTTTACCCATAAACCACACAATTCACAAATGACAAAACAAAGAAGAGAAAACGAGGGGGACAAAGCTTAAACTTTGCTAGCTATTCATTACCTTTATATTTATTTATCTTTGAAATTCCAGACCGAATCGTAAAGTGGGAAATTTATTTTTAAAATATGGAAATTTATTTTTCGCAAAGGAGACAAATCTTATAGAACCAGAACTGTGGCAGTCTCCGATACTATAAATATTATTTCCTTCTTTTCTTTTGTTTCATGGCTCAACTTCACAGCTTTCCCAAGAAACAATCATGGGGTACATGGGAGGAGCTTTTACTTGCCTGCGCCGTTCATCGTTACGGCAGCGACAGTTGGGGCTCCGTTGCCATGGAACTCCAGAAGCGAACTTCCACGCTCCAACCCCTCTCTTTTACTCCCCTCTCTTGTCAACACAAGTTTGAAGACCTTAAACGCCGTTTCGCTGTAAACGGCGGCGACGACAAAAATACTGATAACATCTTCACCGCTGCCGTTCCTTGGCTTGATGAGCTACGAAAACTCCGCGTCGCTGAACTACGCCGCCAAGTCCAACAATATGATCTCTCCATCGTGTAAAAAATTACTAAATCAATTTTTTAATGTAAAAAAGTATTTATATTTGGCGGACAAAAACCGAGTTTGTTTTTTCTTGCTCTTTGTTTTACAGATCCTTGCAATTGAAGGTGCAGAAACTGAAAGAAGAGAGAGAACATAGGTTGATAGAGAACGGAAAAGAAACTGGAAAATCGGATCTGAAGAGAGAGAAGGAAAGCGAAAAGATGGGAGAAGATAATAAACCGGAGAATAAAATACGAAGACAGATTCATGGCAGGAAAGAGACCGACCGGGAGAATCATTCGGTAAACGAATCTAATTTTACAGTTCCGAAAGAGAAGAGTCCGGGAACCGGGCCGGAGGAAGTGAAATTTAGACCGGATGAATATGAAATGGCGAAGGTGGTGCAGAGCATGAAGCCTGCGGGCGGAGATTCCTGCAACGGCAGCTCTGGTAGTGTGGCGAAGGAATCGGCTGAAAACTCAGGGCGAGTTGACCCGAGGGAAACCGGTGAATCGCCGGAGTCGATGGCCGAATCTAAGGGAGAAGAACCTAATAGAGAGAGCAGCGATGTCCAGAGCACGGCGAGCCTGTCCGTCAAGGAAAACAAAAATGCTGAACCGTATAATGAGGAGTTGGAGCAATCTCCCGCCATCAAGGAGGTTTCCGCTGAATCTGGGCCGTTGATAGAGCTCCTCGAGATCTTCCGGTCTCATAAGGTCGGCTCACTTTTCGAGCGCCGACTCGAAATCCAGGTAAAACAAAATATTATATTTTTATTTTAAAAATCAATTTAAAAAGTTTTAAAATAATTTTAATTACCTTTTTTTCCGAAAAAAGGGAAGGGTTTTGATTGGGCGCGACGCGGGTGAGATATAATCTCACGCAGTCACGCTATATATGGAGATGACGTGTCAACACGATTAGGTTTGGTTATTATCAAGATGAATGGATAATACAATACGGTATCTGAAATTTGAAAAAAAGGGTTTGTCGAACAAAAATGGAGAAAAGAAAACGAGAATTTAATTATTTAAATTATACAGAGTTTTCGGGTTTGAACGAGAATTCTATAAAAATATTTGATATTATTATAAAATAATTAAAAATATTTTAAATTAATATTATTTTATAATTATCTCAAACCAATAAAAAAAAATTTAATATGACTAGGCGGTGTTGCACGATTTGGTTTGGCGATTTTTAGGATAATTAGATAATACTAGTTGAAAAATAGTTTTGATCTAATCTTACTTTTAAATTAATCTTGACCGCTTATCTAATCTGATTTAGTGGTATGTATTAATTATGCCTAAAGTCATAGAGATTATATACCAAGTTATATATTTAATACCTATATTATTATTATTTTTGTTCGTTTTAATATTTATATATGATTTATTTTTTAAAATTATATTTAATGTTTAATTTTAGTTTTAATATGGGATTATATCATTAAAAAAATTAATAATATTATTGATGTGATATATTTTTTTTATTTTTTTAATAATGATATGTTATTTTTTATATGACATGTCAAACATTATTATTAGTTTTTTCACCGACAGTGAGTATTAAATTAAAATCTGAACTAAATATTAAACATGATTTTAAAGAAATAAAATTTGAATATTAAAATAAAATAAAATAATTTTTTTTAGATATTAAACGTCTAGTGTACCCTGTATATAATTGACCTGTTTTCTTGCGTGCCTTTAGTTTAGGTTAGGTTGAGAGGATGGTGCTAGGTTTTCAGTCGTGTGAATCGACTAAAACATCCCTCTCGTTATTAGGACCTCTCGCTTCTATAGGATGTTGGTTTGGGCCCATTAGTGTTATTAGGCATTTTTTTTGTTTCCTTTGTCTGCAGAAAAGAATTATTTTTCTAAAAAAATAATAATCTAGAATCACGATTTAACTTGGTAAGTTAATAAGAAACTTAATAAATTTATTTTTAATAATATAAAATTAAGTTATATCTTTTATTAGCATGAAAAATGATTAAAAAGTTACTCGTTTTTTTATTGATCACAAAGCTCTCTCCACTCGCGTTAAAACTGAAAAACAAAATTACTAGTAAATACTTTTCTAATAATTGTTTATTCGGGGGGAAAATTCACCAGTTTAAATTTCAACTTGTCAGAAAGATTAAAAGTGAAACCATGGTCAAGAACCCGATGACAAGACGTTTCTGTTTTTGTCATTGAATAATATATCTTCACTATATTACATGGAGGTGAGCAAGAATGGTTAAATTTTTGAAGAGGACATATCAAACGTAACGTTGAAGTTCCTGTTATTTGGAAGGAAAAAAGAAGAGTGAGGTTAGGATGGTTCATTCTGTTGCTGTGAAGAAAACATTAATTGTTTTTAAATCTAGCGTAGTTTGGTATATAAATTATTACTTTTGTTTCGTTTTGTTTTGATACTTAAATTTTATTTTTTTAAAGTTATACTTAACTTTTAGCTTTTTTTATACTCTCCCGTTACTAATGTTGATGTGTCATCATAAAGTAATGTCACATTATTATTAAAAAATTTAGGGAAAAAAGTAATTCTTTAATAGTTCTGTTATTTTTTTACGTTGAAGTATCAAATTGAAACTTAAATTAAATATTAGGTATGATTTTAAAAAAATATTAGGGTACTTAAATAGAATAAAAACGACAATTTAGGTATTAAACGAGTAGTTTTTCTTAAAATCTATAGGCTATCTTATACGAGTAAGATGTATGAGTTTGGTCATTGATCAGTGTGGCTAATAATTTATCACTTTTCCAGTATTTCATGCTGTTTGTCGTTTCCATTTTATTTTCCTTTTTAAAATAAAACTATTTTTCTTTTTCAGTTTTGGCCTAATTTGCCACCACCCCACGTGTACACGTGTAATGCTTGTATGCCAAAAAGAAACAAAAGCATGTGTCTCCCGCTTGGATTTTTTTAATATGTTAAAAGATTTTTTTTTTGGCAAAAAGGCACTATAGGATCATGTAATTTTGAAAAAAAAACTAATGTGACCTCATTATTTTTATCTGAGGCCCTCCACCTTAAAAAATAGATCTAATATAATCATTTGATCAACATTTTTCATCAACCGTTATGAATATTGATGTAGCAATTCGTGATATTGACGTGGCTCGCATGATATTGATATGGTAATCCTTATGTCATATTTGAGTTATTAATTTAACTCATCTGTCATGTTATCTATCACGTTATGAGTCACCGTGGATTGTCATGTCAATACCGTGGATTGTCATGTAAACATCGTGAATTATCATATCAGTATCGTGAATTGTCAAGTCAGTACCATAGCGGTAAATGACGAAAAACGTTAAAGGGTCACTTAACTTATTTTCTGAGTTGAAGAGTTGCAACGAGAGAAAAATAATACGAATGTCGCTTTAATGTTTTTAAAAAATTACATAGACCTTTGATATCTTTTTGTCAATTTTTTTTAATATTAGATGATCCGGTTTTGTTTTTGTTGCATATGCTGTTGGATTGACTGCTCTCTTTAACCTACGTGCTCTTATTAGTTGCAATTCTTCAAATTTGCTGCTTTTTATCTTTTTCAGAAATGTGACAACTGATGGATACAAATACAGCTTGCACTTATCTTATGTATCCTTGGTTTTCAATATTGCAGGAAGATTACCATAAGTTGATCCGGCAACATCTTGACTTGGAGACAATTCGCATAAGGCTTGAAGATGGCCGCTATTCAGGATGCAAAAGCAAGTTCTTTAGAGACTTGCTGTTGCTTTTAAGCAATGCCATTGTTTTCTTCGGCAAGCAATCCTCGGAATTCGCTGCAGTCGTCGAGCTTCGACAACTTGTCTCGAAGGAGATTGCTGCCCACGTTCCTAATTCAAACCTACTGCCCAAGGAACAATCGTCTACTCTGCCTGAATCCCAGATAACTTGGAAACCAGAACCTGAACTGTCGCACTCCTTGACAATGAAAACTAAACTATCGGTCCCACTCATTGCTTGCCGCAAACGCAGCTCAATTGCCGCAAAATCATCATCATCTTCTGGACAAGAGAAAAAGAGGCAGCCGATTTCGTCGTTAATGAACGAGAAACCAGCTCTAGATTGGAAGCAGGATGATAAATCGACCGAGAAAGCCGAGGAAACTCTTGCAACAAAGAAGAGAACGAGAGAACGATCTGCCTCGGGTGCGAGAAAAGCAAACAAAGATGCAAAGGCCCTGAATAATACCAAAACCAGCAAGAGCTCAGATTCCATTACCACTGCGAGCAAAGGCGGATCATCAAGTGAGAACTCGGAATCCAAAGGGGAGTCAAAGGTCGAGAAGGAGAAGACCAACACAAATGTGAGTTTGAAGAAGCGAAGCGCAGCGAATTTCTTAAATAGAATGAGGAGTAATGGGGAATTGACGGAGATGATTAGTGCTGATAACGGTAAAGGAGGAGATGCAGGCGGGAGAAAGAAAAGCAGCGGTGGCAAAGGTGATCAACAGAAGGATGGAAGTTCGAAATCACGGACACGGTCGGGTGGAAAAAGAAGGAAAGAGAAGGGAGGCCCGGTGAAGAGGAGTACAGGACGACCGCCAAAGGGGGTGGTGGCACCATCGCCTGCCGGCCAATCGGGTCCTGGTAAACGTGTGAGGGAAGCTGTTGAGAATTATTCTGGTAGTGGACATGCAAAGAAGCGTTCAAAAAAATGAACAGTTCCAGGTATTGATTTTACCTTTCTTTATTAGTAGGGTGGAGAATGTACGTCAACTAATTATATAAAAAGTAGTCCACTTATTTTTTTATTTTGGGTAAATTATTTATTTAACATCTTAGTTGCTTTAATCATTTAATTTGTATTTAGTGTTATGTCTTTTATTTTGATCATCGGTTCCTAAACTTCTATAAAATATAAGAGTAATTTTAATTTAGATTTTATAAATTTTATTAATTAAATTTTAATTTGAAATAATTTATCATATAATAATTTTTGATATTCCTTTTTCTCTCTCCATAAAATTTAAATGGTATTTTTGAAAATAAATAAAGATTTTATAAGATCTTATTAGATCGGAATAGAGTGACACAACACGATATTAACAATAAAATCAGACATTTGATTAGATGGCAATGGTGTTAGCATTACAGTGAACGGTGCAACGACATTGGGGTGGTTTTAAGGAAGTTATTGAAAATGTTAATATTTTTTAATATTATCGGAAGAATATTATCTAAAATATTATTATTTTACTGAAAATATTAATTTCGTTACCTAAAATGTTTTTAACCGAAAATGTTAATTTTACTACCTAAAATATGAACATTTTTAGTAAAAAAATAATATTTTATGTAACGTCTGATATTAATTTTTTTGGTAAAAAATAATATTTTAAATAATGTTATATTGAAAATATTAAAAAAATATTAATATTTTCGATGACATCTTTTTTTAATCTTATATTAGATTATCTTTCCTTAAACATCTATTCACATTACAGTGAGATCTGTGGGAGATAAAATTGACCAATCGATAGGGTCTCGTCAGCAGCCCACCAAGTAAACACTCGAATCTTCGGTCTCATGAGTCGCCCACCAACCAAACGGTCGAATCGAATTTTAGATAGTTTTACAATGGTTAGCCAAAAGATAATAAATTCTTCGTCCAGCCCTTAAATCAATCACTGAATGTAACCCAAATCAACAGTTCAGTTTCGACCAATCAATAAAGGCATACCCAATTAGTTAACCTCACCAACTCTTAAAATCACACAAAGCTGATGATTAACGACAGGCTTAGTGCTACCACTAAAATGGATACTGGATTTATCATAGTTTACTTGTATACCGGAAGCTGACAACTCTCGAAAAGAGTTGTAAAATGTATATTTTTTTCATTGTTATTTCTTTCTTCTTAGGTACATATCATGCGTATTTATAGTGGAATATGTCATAATTTGCATATGAGAGCTTGATTTTATGTACAAAAAGAAAGAAAAAATCTTGTCATGATTGACCAGATTACTGATCTTTCAACTCCCCATCAATAATTTTTGTTTGGGTAGATTACACGTTTAACACTTAAATTATTACTTTTGTTCTGTTTTGACACCTAAACTTTATTTTTTAAAATCATACTAACGTTTAATTTTGGTTTCATTTTAGTATCCGTCGTTAAAAACTCAAAAGTGATGTTGAGTGTCTTGGAGTACTGAGTTGAAACTAATTCTGTTAATTAGTTAGAGTTTAGTTAGTTCGTTAGCATATTATTAGACCTGACAAACTTGACCTGAACCTGATTACCTGAATCGATTTACCCGATCCAATACTTAATATTAACCCAAACATGATAATCAAATTTGATTTGATACCCGACCCTAACCATACCTGATCCAAAATTTAGAAAAAATGAAATCAATCAGAACCAAAATTAACCTGAACCAAAAGCAACCCGAATCGAAATTAACCCGAACCGAAAGCAACCCGATCCGAAAGTAACCCGAATCGAATTTAACTCAACCCGAAAACAACCTGAACAAATTGAAATTGATAAAAGCTATTAAATGATAAAAATTATTTTCAATAATAAATTTTAAATAAAATTGATAATTTATTAAAAATATTATATTTTTAAATTAATAGAAAGTTTAAGAGGAATATAAAAATAAGAATTTAATTGTAAGATTAAGTAATAAATAAAATTTACTTGTCTTACTTGTTATAAAAATATTATATTTATAATAAAATAATAGAAAACAAATTAAGCAAAGGAAATAATATTAGATTTATTGTAAAAATAATATAAAGTTTACTTATGTTACGACTAAAACTTAACAAATAAAGTTATGTATTATTTTTTAAATTTACTAAAATTATTAAATTTATAATTGGAGATAAAATTTTAATAAAAATTATCTATTTTCAAATAGTTCATATTATAAACTTTTCATACGAGATCAATATAAAATTTTGATAACAAATTCTAACACGTATTATAGGATAGTATTTGTGTTAAATTATCCATTTATCCTCTCTAAATGATTGTTTAATTCAAAATATTGAACGATTCAGAATTGAAATTAAACCTAAATGATAAAATTAACAAATAAGAAGACATATTTTTACAAGTATATATCAATTATTCTATATATACTTGGTTTTGATTAGACTCATAATAAATTCAACCCGAATTGACCTGATCTAAAGTTTGACTAAACCAAAAATTAATCGATCCGATATTGACCCGACCGCATATCCGTTATTAACTTGACCCAAAAATCAACCGATCTAGTATTGACTCAACCTGATATGGACCCAATCCAAAAATCAACTGATCTGAACCGAAAAACAACCGATCCAAAAATCACCTGACTCAAAAATTGACCCGACCCGATACCCGCCCCGATCCGATTCACCAGACACCGAACTAGATCCAATTCGATCCGAAAAAACTATTGGAACATTATTGGAGTAAGATTTTAGAGTTGGTGTAGATTTGAACAGTTAGTTTTATGTGCGCTTAGCAGACGATTGTATTAATGATTTATATCAAAAATTACTATTGGTTCAGATTGGTGTTGAAATTCGCTACATGTTTTTTGGTCATGGTTGATTGGAGATCTGTTGTTCATCACTAGTGTTTAGTGTTGATTTTTGACATGTGTTTCTATTCATATTTCTGCGGTAAGCTGTTGCTGATTTGGTTAGAAATTGATGTTGTTGAATGTTGGTCACGAGCACTACATGGTTTTGGTTGGTTGTTCGGTTAAATTCAATTTGCAATTCTTTGTTATTTGTTTGCTTCTTTCACAAGAGACATGACATGTGGTGAATCAACGTTTTATTCTCCAAGAGAGGATTTGGATTGCATTCGGAAATTCAATTTGCAATTTTGGATTGCATTTGGAAATTCGTAGCTTAACCGCCTTTCTTCCACCAAAAAGAAAATATGAATAACTGTAGAGGAAGTATAATGAAGATAAGAAAGATGGTGAAGAAATAGAAGAAAGTTGTATAATAATACTTTGAAATTACAAGTAAGAATGAATAAAATGTCTGAATTTTGTTCGAGGTACCAACATACTAAATCAACTTATCCTTGTACCTTTCTAAAGTAGCTCACATTTTTTTTTTAATTTTGAGATGTTTAAGAAGTTAAAAAAGTTCAAAAAAGTAGGGTGAATGTTAAGAGTACCGAGTTGAAATTAATTCTTAATTACTTAGAGTTTAGTTAGTTTGTTATAGTTTGTTAACGTATTATTAAGGCCTATATAAGCCTATTGAATATTGGGGGTAAGACCAAGTCTTTGTAATCCATTTCTATTCAATTTAGTCATAAACTCCATTTTCCTTTTATTTGTTCTCTTCACCAAACAATAGTTACTAGTTCATTCTTTATTGGGGAAACGCCACATCATCATTGAACAATATTAAAAAAATGTTACGCCAGTAATTTTGTTAATTTTTTAATGGCGGTGTATCAAATTGAAACATGAACTAAATATTAGTATATTCCCTAAAATTTATACTTTAATAATACTCAAAAGTACAATTATTTCAATTTCTATAACAATTTCAACCTATTTTCTAGTTCCAGACTCAATAGTATCGGTACACATACTATGGTATCGATACTTCTATACTATGGTACTGATACCCCTTTCATTATCGATACCTTTCTCTTAGTATCAATACTACTATACTATGGTACCGATACTCACTTTCAGTATCGATACCATTTTGGCATTTTGGAATCCATGGTATCGGTACTTCCCATCAGTATCCATACCCCATCAGTATCGATACTAATTGCATCAATACCGATATTGTTCCTCGCATTTTCTACCCATTTAAGCCTATAGTATCGGTACTGTTCTTCCCGTACCGATACCCCCTACCCCGATTTACCATTTTTCAGACCGATTTTTACAAACTTTACTCTTAAATCTCTTACTTTTACCTCTAACAATATTATTAAACTCTTCCTTACTTAACCCAACTAACTTTCCTTCATTTAGCTTCTTATAACTTTTAAAATTTCCAAAGAATATCTCCACTCAAGAATCGTACTACTTTTCCTAACAAGTTTTTAATCATATTCAATGCTTCTAATCTCTTATTCACTTATTTGACAAGTCAAATATACTAATAAACCTCAATAAAAACTAATATATCAACATATCATTCAAAAACCCATTTCCCTAAATCTCAAATAAAACTTCCACCTCTTAGTTTTAATCTTCTTTAACCCTTCCTTAGGCTTACATATCATTTAATGTTACAAGAGAAAACCATAATTGGAAAGAAGAATTAGTTGAATGAAGTTTACCTTTTGCTATGGAGGAGAACACAACCCACGGGAGGAAGAAGAAGATGAGTAAGTAACTTAGATAAAGTTTTAACTTTTCCCTTTTTCTTAAATCCCTATCAATTAAAAAAAAGTTTTAATTTCTTTTCATTTTAAATGACCAAAATGCCCTTTTAATTATCATTTTCTTATTAATTGGTCCTACTCAAATCATTCCTTATTATTTTAACATTTATTAAATTAAACCCTCTAATTTTTAAATTCTTCCAAAATAGTTACTGACCTACCATTTGGGGTATTATACAGACAACCTATTTTGAGCTCAAACTGGTGATGTTCGACATGTTAAGCATGATTGGACAATTTGGTGGTGCACCTCATGAGAATGTGAGGTAGCATGTTAGAGAATTTTTGGAGGTCTGTGACTGCT